CTAACACTGGAATAATGAATTATAGAATTAGATTTGTTCATACCTTAATCAATTGCGAGCTACGAAGGGGTGGCGAGCTACTGGTGACTCCCGAGCTGCTGGTGGAGACCCCCTGGATTAGAAAACTCCCATTAACATGCATTGGTTTTGTAAATGCAGCAGTTTTGCCTTACCACCCATTCTAGCTTACATAGTCTTAGTGTCCCATGATGCTTTCTAATTTTCCCATAAGCTCAATCACTGTCTATGCAGTTTTGCCTTCTGGCACATTTCCCACTCGGCAAAGCATCAAAATACAGTATTGTTGTCATAGATCACTGTGCAAAAGCCCTGGTTATTTTAAATGGCATTCATTGAACTTACAACAAGAAGTTTACAAACAGCTGAAATGGAATGTTAGGAAAAAGCAATTTTCCACTTTATAGCCCTGAGGTAGTTGACTTTTTAATATGACAACATCCATTTTTAGTATTTCAGAAAATATTCAAATGAGGGCATTACAGGCTTTTTGGTATCACTTGAGCCTTTTGGCCAAAATATCATTTTGGGGTCACTTTTTGATAATTGTACGTCCACTATGGCTCAGGAAGAGACATAAAGAGTGACATTGATAACAATCTGACTTATAATAAAATATCAATAAAAGAAAAAGAAAAAAAGGTCCAGAAACAGTGATTTTAACTGTAAGTGAGCTTGGTCCTGACCTGGACTCATTTGAAACAAGAATTAGCAATTTGTATAATTTTTATTTTGTCTTTTCTCCACCCTTTACATTCTTTACCTGTATGACCCAGCGGGGGGCGGGTCCTAACTCCTAGAGGTCCCATGAGCAACACTGACATGCCAGCAATCTCACTCTGGGCTGGTGGGGGTGTACCCAGAAAGAGAATTAACCCATTATTTGTATGACTGCCTTCTTTCCTCTCAAGAACGGCTTTACAGGATGTGTCCAGAAGTTGCTATTTGTGTGTGAAATGCTGGACACAGTCCTAGTTTAGGCCGCTGGGACTTTTGAATGCCCCCGTTAAAGAATGGGGCTGGTGCTGGCAACGCATGTGCAATTTATTTTCAACATTTTCCCAGCCCTGCGGCATTTTGAAAAGGCCCCAAAGACAGCAAAAGTGGTGCACAATAGTTTCAAATCAACAGCGGAGATAAGCTGTTGTGTGACCCGCCTTGGACTATAAATGTAAATTTAGCAGTTTATTATTTTTTTGTTTTTTTACAATCTGGCCTTTTAACAATTTTGACTAAAAACTCTCAAACTTATACAAGTGTGTCAATGTGTTGTTGTCCTGATCTAAAAAACATAACGTATAATAAATAAATAAAGACTTAAGAGAAGCGGTATGGCTTGATTTTTTCAAATAGAAACGACTTGTGTAATGTTTTGAGCTGACTAAGATCCAAAAAGTAATAGCCAAACGCAATTGCTAAAATCTATGAAAAATAAATAAATAATGTGATTCCTTCATGACGTTTTAATTGCCCATGGTTGGTAGTATTGTGCCGCCTTTTCTGTTTGGTCGTAAAAATGCCATGGAGACTTTGCACTCAACAAGGTGCTTTATGGCAGTGGGATAAATGAACTGCAACATAATTAAATTCAAGTCATTGTCAGACAATTATCGAAGCCATTACTGTTATTTTATGAGCCACTCTTTACCTGGTCATGACACTACTTCAACATTACAAAATTACTAAGAGGACAATTAAAGCAGCACAAGCAGAGGCTATTGTACTCGCAGCTTGAACTAATGATAGCTTATAAACACACTATGCAGAAAGTAAACATCATTTTATCAAATTGTAACAGGTATATACACGACCTCTCTGATCCAGGGCTGGTCTGATTGACATGAGTGTCTGGGCTATCATTTCTAAAGACCCAGAGTTGACTATAGCTAAAGGTACAAAGGAGGATGTTTCTACTTGCGCGTGGATCATCAAGACGGTTGGTCCAAGTGTTAATCATTCTGGTGAGCACGTGCTTCGTCAAATAAGACCCGAGAGTTTGCTCAAAAAGTGGAGAGGCCGTTCTTTCCTAAAATGTTGGATAATCCTCACTTTACACCTTCTATTTACATAAGATAAGATAACCTTTATTTGTCCCAACAAGTGGGGAATCTTTCAATGTTGCAGCGCTCATACAGTCCAGCAGTATGAGCAAGAGATGGAGCCACACAAAATACTACATAACTGCTGTGTTTCTGACTAGCTCTAAATACGTCAATATAATCTACATTATAAACTGTCTAGTGATCTATACCTTGTTAAGATATGCAATTATATATTTGTCCGCATTGTTAAATTGACACAACGTAATTGACTTTATGGAAGACCACAGCTACCAGCTTCTTCTCTGATTAAAGTGGCAGTGGCTACTCCTTGACAGATGATATAAAGTAAACATAATGGTGTGCTAAATGGATCAATAGTGGTTTTATCTTGATTATATTTTTGAGGTTCTTTCACAAAGATTTTGAAATGGCAACAAATGCTGAAACAACAATCTTATTTCAAGCTTGGCAAAGCATTGTATTTCTTTTTCCATTGGCAAATCCTGTTTCAAGAACCGTCAAAAGGTTTTCTCTTCATTTAGCCATTTTGGGTTAGGGTTTAATTGATTAAAACATTTCTAAATTGTGAAGTCTCATACCAACAAGACATAATATTGTATATTCTGCACAAAGCTAATTCACAATTGTTGTTAAAACATGTAGCTACTTGTAAAAAGCTTGTAGCTTTTTCAAACTGTGATAGAAACCAAACAGTTTGAGAGAAGTTAGAATGCATTTCATAACATAGTTTTTTTTTTTTTCTATTGTGTGGTGAAAATCCCAGCTTTTATGAAGTCATAATATTCTTGGGCCAGTTACAGTCATAACAATCTGGGACAACCTTTGATTTGATCAAAATCCTATGGCATGATTCTAAAAACGGAAGGAAAGAACCGCCCTCTCAACTTTTTTGAACAAAACAGTAGAATGTTCCTTTTTTATTTCATTAAAGTGTAGTTTTCTCACTCCCACCATACTTCCCTATACAGTAGTATGGCCACATCCAAATGCTTCCGTTCTACTTGCAGACCCCCAAGTAGCAAGTGATGTTTTGTTCATTGAGCAAAAATGACATTTGATTCATAACAGAACATTAGAAAACGATTAAGACTCCCATTACCAGGGGTGGTGGTCAAGGAAGAGCAAAGAAATTATGTCTGAACTTTCAGGAGATGGTCAATTACTCAAACATGAATGAGTCACCCTGGAACAAAGTCGAGTGTGTAAAAGGCCAACTATAACATGGTCAAAGGCTGTGAAACTTAGATTTGGCATGTTTGTATGTCCCTTTTTTAAATGAAAAGGCGGTAGATATGTCTTTCCCCCCTTGTCTCGTAGCCCCCTGACAATCAGCATTCTGCCTGTGTCGTGGAGTTGGATAAAACATTAAAAATAGATGAGTTTGTTGAGGTCGAGTGATTGCGGAGACGCTAAGCCTGTCTCGAGCACTAATCTAACAGCCTTCTTCACTTTTCTGATGTGCAAATAGGGAACAACTTTGCAACTCGTGTTGCATGTTTGGGTCCTGTCATCCAGTGCGTTGTTATTGAAGCTCCCTGTCCATGGCCCATCACCGCCCCCGTCCTGAGCTGTCACTAGCAGTGTCACTGTGGGGCCAAAGTGCAGCCAGTGTGGAGCTGTCATGTTAGGTTTTAGTTGTTGTCTGTGGGGGCCATCCTGGCCCACACTCCATTCCGGAAGGTGGCAGTAATGCACCCAAAAGTTGTTTGCCAACTGCCATTAAAAAAACACTAGAAGAAGAAGTCAGTACAGAGACCACTGCGCAATGCGCATGCGTGCAGAGACTCTAGCCTGCTCCGTAGATTCTCGATAGTTTCTTCCCTTTTTTGCGAGTTGTGCCTGGGGTCCTGGACACTTTCGGCTTCTGAAGGTAGGAGACTGCGTCGAAACTGCGTCAAAACAGTGACAAAACCCCGCGGAACCTGGTGCCTTCCCCGGGCAGATGTGAAGCTAACGATGCTAACGATGCTAATGATCATATCAATGATATGATATCATATACTTTCTCTTTTAACTGAGAAATGGACAAATCAATGACTGTTACAATTATTACAGGTTCTATTAATCATTGGAAAATTGGCGCCAGCGAACGTCATGATAAAATGATACATTTATAAACACATGTCCATGATATTAGATACATTTAACGCTAATTACAGCGATATTAATAGATCAACTTGGAAACTGCTTCTACTTCACGTATAGATGGGGTAATTAAGTTGAATAAATAATGTGTTTAGTTTGTGAACAAATTAGATCATTACATGCTGTCTTTTTTTTTTTCTCTAAAAAACATCTTTTGTGTCAGAGAGGGCAATGTGAGTCAACATTTGACTCTTTGGGCTGAGTGGCGGTGTTCCTTACTTTTTCATTTTTCTGCCGGAAATACAAAAAGAGACAATAGAAAAGACAAACTATATTTGTAAAAATTAAATAAAATATTTGAGGTCATGTTGACGATTTCTCATTGGAGCAAGCGTCTGGTGTCTTGAGTCTCTGGTCTCTCTCTCTCTCTCTCTCTCCGGTATCTTTCTTGAGTCTCTGTGGTGTCTCTCTTGTCTCTGGTTTCTCTCCGGTCTCTCTCTCTGGCCTCAGAGATTTAGACAGAATACTGTCGTATTGACCAGGTAGGGTTTGCAAAAAAGACAGTCAGAGCATCTGTTCGCTATCTTACATTTGTCTTGGAACCACAGGGGTAATTCTCTGCTGCAGTGACTCGCTCGCTGTATCGGCCTTCTTAGGGAGCAGCGTCTGTAGTCAGAGCTCTTGATATACTGCCCTGTCTGTTCCTTTCCTCACCTGTGCTCACGAACTCCAAGGTCTATTATTAACCTCAGTTCTCTGTGCCAGGTCCTCGGGCGCCAGGTTTTCGGGCGCCAGGTCCTCGGGCGCCAGGTTGTGATGGGGTGAGGCTCCGTCATGAGGCACCACTGGCTGCTGCTGGGGGCCTGTGGGTGGGTGCTTCTCATCCTGATGTTTGTGACCAAGTTCATCAACTTCAGAGCCAACAACGGTTTGTATGAACGCTAGTGCCGCTGCTGTTGCTACTGCTGCTGCTACTGGTACTGCTGCTGCTACTACTTGGTGTCCCCCATTACAGGTTTTGCTTTGCTTTTAAAGACCTTATGCCGGGTTTGATTTATTTAGAAATATAGTTTTAATACCATTTTATATTAGAAGAGAACTACTAAAGGTTTCAAAATCAGTTGTTGTTTTTTTTGTCTGAACCCCCCAAATCGAAATAACCCCATAGCAACGCCCTTAGAGACGAAAAAAACTTCACAGCCCTTGGTGACGTCAGAGCGGGTACGTTTCATCGCTGTAAGTTGTTTACAATTTGGTATTCGTTCTTTTTTCGCGGATATTCAGGATGACAAGGCCGTGTACAGCGAGTATGAAATTACTACTAGATTGCAACTTTCGTTGGCACTGAGATAGTTCAGAGGTTGTGTCGATGGACTGCCAATTCAGATACTGGGGTTCAAATCCCACCTCAGACACATTTTCACTCTCAAAACGGCAATTTATGTGTAGTGAGCAATTGTCACCTGTAGAGTGCAGTATTGTGTTGGGCCTCAGTGGAGAGAAGAGAGAAAAGGCAGTCCTGTGGCATAGATCCATGGTTTTCAATGCATGGGCGTTACCCGCTATGACGTCACACACAGGTTAGAGCATAGACAACTTTAATTCATGAAAAACACGTTCTTTTTATAAAATATAGGATTTTTTTTGCCGGAATCTATTTCAGATCGACATTGTCATGCAATTTTGATAGCCACTATTTTTTTTTTTAAACCCGGCATAAGGTCTTTAAAAACAAAGCCGCGCCGTCCGCTTACCGGCAGACAAGTGTCGGTCTTTTAAGCATATGTACATTGCCTACAACGGTGGCATTGAACTTCGCCAGACTTCATAAACAAACACACTATGGTCAGTTAATCCAAAACAATGCTTCTCGAAACTCAAAATTAACACGGGTGGTGAAGACGAGGCTCTTTTCCCTCCAGAGCTTGATGATGAAGCCCATAATACACTGAGGTTCTCCTGCCAGACTGTTTCTAATCCTTAAAGAAGCTATACCCGATTTTTGTTATGAGTTCTTAAAAATGCTTATTACTACATACAAGTTGTATTATAATCCGTAATTTAATTGAAAACTTGAGCTCATTGATTCAGCTGTGTATGAACTCAGGCCGTAAAAAGTGCTGAGTAGAGACTTGGCGTGACGCCAGCTCTCCTCCAATCACAGAACAAGGCTGCGCCCTCTAGCCTCTACAGCGCTGCTAAACACAGTAGCATGTTAGCAGAATTGGCTTTAACTTCTCTTGCTATAACTGCATACACAGCAAAACGGTCCAAAGTGAGGAAGAAAATAGAAAACTAAAGCAAAAAAAAAATTGATCAAGAAACCAAGCCTGGGTGAAAATAGCTAGATCGCATCGTATCCTCTGGAGAGACTTGTCTATGGGAGAGACCTGCGGGTGCGGACCGCGTCGGACTAAATTCGGACGTGAAACTAGCGGTAATCTTTCAGTTATATATTTTGTTCGCAGTGCGTTGCTTTTGCACCATTTCATCAGTGATTGTTGTACAGCTTACAAGAAGTGGCGCTCATGCTAATGTTTGTATATGTATCAGATCGCAAATAAAACTAGATGGCTCCGTGGGATGAGAGCGTAGGGGAAATGAGAAGCCTGTGAGTGAGTTGAGGGGCAGTGCTAAACATTCAAACCTTGCAGAAACGGGTATAGCTCCTGTAAATTGAATACAAGTCTGATTACATCAAAAACAATTTAAGGCAAAACTAAAAATGTAATCAAACACAGATAGTTCAACATGGGGAAAATGATATATTACAGGCCTTGACATTAAGCTTTGTCAGCCACACATGGGGGAGACGCGGGAGAAGGTTGTGTCTGTGCGTCTATGGTCCGCGCTCGGTACCACGTTAAGGCCTGTGTACACTCGCGCGGCGCTGCTTACGGTTGCGTTTACGTTGGACCTACGTAACCACAGTTGGTGGTTCACTTGCGCGTTCCTCCTTATGTGTTTCTACTGTAGGTTTATGTGACGGTTCTATGGACTCATCGTTTCAACTCATTTAACTGTGATGCTGTGAATAAAGACACAGTTCTTGTTGGAAACATAGTTATTATTAAATTGTATTCAGCACAAACAGCAAAACAATAAGTGGTAAATATCTGAGACGAACATGAACTATTTATAAGTGCAGGAGGAACGCAACAGACGCGATGAGCTACGAGTGCAGATTCAAACAAAGTGCAAAAAAAACCACTGCACAGTTTATGTAAGTTATATATAAGTTAGATATGCAACAGAACTCTCATCCACAGTCTCCGCGTATATCAAGCTCTGAGCCACGAGCCCAAACTTGCTTTTCCTTCGGTTCCTTCGAAGCACAAAGCAGTCTTCTCCAAAGTGCCTCGTCCATTTTCCTTGCAGCCGCTTCCCAGAAAGTAATCACACACGGACCAATCACAGCGGAGCTTCTCTGCGGCGACCCTTAGACATTTTCGAGGGTGCGCGGCAGGCTACATAAGGGCCTTGCGGTGATCCACGCGTTGCGCAAGTGACGTCACGTCACCACCATAAGCTCCGTGCCGCGCGACTATACACTAGGCTTTACAGTTGTACGTTTGCTGAGCTGTTGTCAAAGCGGCCGCAGCTGCCCCGGGTCAGAATGGAGGATGTGAAATCCCGTTCGAATACGTACAGCAAACAACAGAAAGTGCCCGTAGTCACACATTTCACAGAAATGACATTTTCAGCTGAACACGCTTAAAATTCTCATCCCTGGTTTATCCTGATGCATTTCATTGGTCCATAAAATTGACCAATGAAGAGAATTGGTCAAGATAAAAAGATAACGGAGTCCGCTCCCAGCTCTGGAGAAAGAAATGCCGGAATGCGTTCCCGGCCTGAATGGGTTAAAATAATGCTACTGTGAGCTAAATATCACTTGCCTGATCTGGCAACTTGCTATGACAGCACACTTGTCCCTAATCTTTAGCTGGAGGAGCAGTTAGTTTAGGGCCATGTTTTTGGTTCTTTATGCAGCACTAGGCCTGATATTAGCATGGATGGATCTAAACACAACCTCACGTCTTTTAGCTGAATATGTCTGTAGGGATTACAGGACTGTCGCTCTGTGTCCAGGGTACGGAGAAAGGGTGGGGTCTCAGAACTGGACTGAGTCTGGGACCAGGGCTGTGCGAGTCCAGAATGCAGAGAACAGGACTGGAGCTGTGCCGGCCTCCAGCTTCCCCTCTGGCCCCTCTGCTCCCTGGGATGGCGTGATCCATCAGAGGAACAGTCTTCTCAAAGCCGTGTGTCGGGACCCCGCCCTCCACAACCTCACCCACAGAGCCGTGACCCGGTTCGTCCTGGACCGGATCTTTGTGAGCGACAAACATAAGCTGCTCTTCTGCCAGACGCCAAAAGTGGGAAACACGCAGTGGAAGAAGGTCCTGATCGTGCTCAATGGTACGGACTGACGCCGAGACTGACGCCGGACTGACCGAGACTGACGCCGAGACTGACGCCGAGACTGACGCCGAGACTGACGCCGAGACTGACGCCGAGACTGACGCCGAGACTGACGCCGAGACTGACGCCGAGACTGACGCCGAGACTGACGCCGAGACTGACGCCGAGACTGACGCCGAGACTGACGCCGAGACTGACGCCGAGACTGACGCCGAGACTGACGCCGAGACTGTATGTTTGTAGGAGCGTTCCCCAGTGTGGAGGAGATCCCTGAAAACATTGTCCACAATCATGAGAAGAACGGACTGCCAAGACTGTCCTCCTACAGCCCCCAAGAGGTCACTGAGAGGTACTGCAGCCTATTTCTGCTACTACTACTACTGCTGCTGCCTGATACTGCTGCTGCTACTGCTGCTGCTGCCTGATACTGCTACTACTACTACTACTACTACTGCTCTTTCTCCCTCTCCTTGCAGACTTGGCAGTTACTTTAAGTTCCTGATTGTTCGGGATCCGTTTGAACGCCTCATCTCAGCGTTCAAAGACAAGTTTGTATTGAACCCACGCTTCGAGCCGTGGTACAAGACGGACATTGCTCCAGCCATCATCCGCAAGTACAGACGCCTGCACCGAGACCAGGATCAGGACCTGGTCCAGGACCAGGACCGGCCTAAGGTGAGACTGCACAGAGATGAACTAGTATGGCAAGAGTAAAGCAGGAGTAAAGCAGGTCTTCTAAAGCAGGTCTTCTAAAGCAGGTCTTCTAAAGCAGGTCTTCTAAAGCAGGTCTTCTAAAGCAGGTCTTCTAAAGCAGGACTCGAGCAGGACTAATGGGGCTTTCAGACCGCCAACGCTGAAACGCGGAAGCCCCGCTCACCAGACGCGCATTCTCTAGTTTTCAGACGCAGAGGACTTCACACCAGAACGTCCTGACGCGAGCCGGAAGTACCGGAAGTAGCCGGCCGGCTCTAATGCTAACAGAGCTATGCTAGCGGCTTCTTGTGTACAGATCTTCTCCAATATTCAGCTTTGCAGCGTGTCTTTGCTCACAGACATTCCACGGGCTTTATACAACAGCAGTATGTGTTCACGGAGGTGCGCCATACGTGTTTTCATATTATTAAACGGAATTTCCGCATCGGCGAACACACTCGAAGCAGTTGCATAAGGTCACGGGAACATGACAACGCATATTTTCACAAGCACACAGTCCCCCATTGTCAACCCTGGTTTGAGTTCTGGTGAAGTCTGGTGTGGGTCCTGTTTTGGCTGTTTACGAGTATTTTCAGTCTGCTCGCTCAGTCCGCTAATGTCCCCGTGACCACTTTGCTGCTCTCTGATTGCTGTCGCACGAACGTCCCAAGGAACCCTAACCCAGGGGTGCTCCATACGTCGATCGCGATCTACCAGTCGATCGCAAAGGTAGTATTGGTAGATCGCATTAAATAAATAAAAAATTACACATTCTAAACGAATATATACAAAAAACTCCGGGCAAAGTGGAGATTTTTGAAAACTCCATTAATGCATTTGTGTGTAGACAGAGATAACCGGAGTTTTGCGTTCTCGCACGCCAAAGTACCCCCCTAAATTCCTCTGATCACTGAAGCATGGATCATACTACCTTAAAAACTGTTCGCTGTGAGATGCTCGCAGCAGCAAACATCCTCCACATCAAAGAGCAACAAAGTGATCGCGGGGACTCACGCTCGAAAACAACTAAACCAGGACTAAACCAGGACTAAACCAGGGCTGAGGACGGGGTCAGTGCTTGTAAACATACGTCTTTACTCTGAGTGTCTTCTATGACTGTAAAAGTGCCGTTACCGGCGTCTGCATCAAAGCTCCGCCCACTTCTGTGTTTTTCCCCAACGCAGGACAGGACGTAAGAGACGCACATGTTTGGAATGTTACGAATGTGATTGATAACACAGATGTGTGGATGCAAATTATTTTATAAACTGAGGAGGGGAAATATTTGGATTAAAAAAAACCAGGCATGGCACATGGACATGGCACCACAGTCAAATGACATCTGTGTTTTACTCAGTAATGTTTTACTGACACTTAGGTGACTGCACATGCGCAAACAACCGCGCTCAGTGCAGGAAAGCTAAACAACGACAAACTTGTCAGGGAGTTACCACCAATTTTCCGGACTATGCATCCCTGGCCGATTCAATTCAGTGCAAGTCATCAGAGTAAACTCGGGTAATGACAAAAAATGTACATAGGTAATTGTGTTGTGTTGTGCTATATTGGCTCATGCGGTTTTGCATGTACATAAACATACATTGTAGGTATAAAGAATATTTTTTGAAATAAATATGTGATTTGCATTTTTGTAGTAGGTAGATCATTTTGACTTGATCCTTTTATAAGTAGCTCGCATGCTGAAAAAGTGTGAGCACCCCTGCCCTAACCCATCTCCTGTGGGCGTTGATTTTTCGCTCCTGCTCCTCCCTTTTCACTTTCCCGCCAAGTCCGTGCGTCATTATTGAACAGTCCGTTCGTGTGTGCCGAGAGGTCCGTGCGTTGTGACGGTCGAACGCGCGCCACCATAGACTTTGCATTGAAACCCGACGCAACGCATGATCCGGTCTGAAAGCACCATAAAGCAGGACAAAAGCAGGACAAAAGCAGGACAAAAGCAGGACAAAAGCAGGACAAAAGGCAGGACAAAAGCAGGACAAAAGCAGGACTAAAGCAGGACTAAAGCAGGACTCAAGAGATTTTTTTTAAACTCTAAGTATGTTTCTTATTGCGCTCCAGGGTGTAGGAGTTAAGGTGGTGCAGCCGGTGTGCTAAGAGCTTGTGTTGCCCCACAGATGCCCCTTTATGCAATGCGCAGCTTGCACCGGGTCCTTGTGCAAGGTTTGGTCAGACGCCAGGGACTTTATGTAGAAAAAAAAACGATGACTAGAATCCACTGTAAAAACCTGCTGCTCTCCGATGATGTTTAGACACAGTGCTGTGTGTGTGCAGACTGCGTTCTAGTGCCAAGGGCCGCTAGAAAAATCATGTTTACTTGAGATTTCAATTGGAGACCCCCCGGCGTTGGTTGCGGCGCACAAATTAGAAAGCATCCTAAATGAGCGCAGCTTCGCGTTTCATACGTCCGTCATATACCAGTATAACGCTAGAAGTGTCAATCTCAGGCCAATCCTCAAATTTTATTAGCGGTTCCTAAGATAAAAAGCCAGTACGTTTTTACAATAAACTATGTTTGGAGCAGGGTAGGTTATATTAAAAGCTGACGCGTCCCCAGGGAACTATATTGTGAGAGTGGACTTTTTATAGAATGAATAGTGGCAAACCGTGCGTTAATGCCCCCAGCCATGTGTGACACCCAGCGCGTTTTACTACAGTCTAGCAACTATTTTAAATGTGTTGGCCTAATTACTAAGTATGTTTTAGAAAAAATGTAAACGTCAACAAAATCAAAAGTGTCATAGCCTTTACTTGAACCCGGGTCCTCTCGCACCAGAGTCTCACTCCTTATCATTGAGCTATAAAGCCACAGACAGTTAGCTGGTGAAGAGAGAATAATGAGCGGTCAGAAGCCAATGTTCCTAACCCTGCTCACAAGTGCCACCTGGTGGTTGTTTGGGTCATTGCAGCATCACTGGGGGGAAAAAAAATAAAAGACCGTGTTTCACACGTGAGTCTCGTGCTATTCACGCGTGAAAGGCGACAAAACGAAATGGGACCTACTGTAGAGCCCTATGTCCTCAATCCAGAATCAGATCATAATTATTTAGTTCACAGTGACACACGGCGAGTTAGTTGCATTGTACTTACAGGCCGAGGCTCCTTTTAGCCCAATTTATATTGGAAATAACACATGTTTCCAAATCAGCTTTTGAGTGGGTCCCAATTCAAGGTAACTGTAGTTCTGGAACAGTCCTTGGTGGTGTCACCGTCACTCGCAAAAAAAAGATCTGCGAGTTTCGTTGCAGATTTCAGACATGTGCGGATACAAGGCAGATCCCCGTGGACAAAGTCAATCCCCATTCTCAGTCTTCGGGCCAAATACTCTTGTCAATTATTTACACCAACAACACATTTTCTCCAAGTTGACATGAAGCTAACACAAAAAAAGCAGAAGACGCTTATTTACACGCTGGACTCGGAGAGAGGCGATCAGTGACGCTTTTGACGTCACGGATTGTGCCACGTCACGATTTGAATCAGCTCGTTTCCGTGCCTCTCGAGAATGAAAGAGAAAGATTGCTCTCTAACTAAAGCTTGACGGAATCAATGAAAAAACTACTCTGGGCTTGTGTTTGAAGGCCAAATAGCACTGTAATCATGAATATACCAGAGAAAAGTCAAAAAGCATAATATGGGCCCTTTAATACAGGCTTAACCAAACCAGGGTACCAGTAGAAGAACCTGATCCAAATGAGAAATCGGGACTAGGGTCAGGGCCAGACACTTTCCACATGTGCAGTATTTTTGGCCTCATTCTCAGGTGATGGTGTGCTGATGTCTGAAATGTTCACAATAATTTACTCTTGGACACAAAAGAAATGTTATGCTAGGTCAAAAGCTCAGTCCTGGTTCAAATTACAGCTTTCTTTATAAAACTTGAGGTGAGTGCATTACTCTTGGCTTGCATTCACGTGACGCATCAACATCCAGTTAATGAAGTGGTGTCAGGCCAACAAAAATTGCTGCTGATATGCGGAGAAAATGTGACTCTTCTTCTGAGTATTTTCGTGCTCTTTTGGATATTTCATGACACTTTGAAGCTACTGTGGATAAAGTTATAACTCACTCAACATTCTAACAATATGCACAAGGCAGTATTTTTCCGCTACATGTTTTGGTTATCTACACGATCCAAGACTGACATTTTCTTCACTTTAGATTCTAATTCTCGAGATTGATACATCGAAAGTCAAATTGTGTAACGGTATAGATCCTAATGAGTTATCCAAGAATAGTTTGATTTGCGAGTTAGAAAAAAAAACGCCAGTTCAGTTCCCGGATATTTCAAACTATCTAGTGTTACAATCAAGCTTTTGCACTGCTAAAAGAAAGCATGGATGCCTAAAACTTTTTCGTCTGTGGGTGGGTTAAGGAACTCGGCGTTAAGGTGCAAATCCTGCATCGTAAAGAGCCGTGTAAGTAACGATTGGTGTTTGAACTTGTCATTCTCCACAAAACGATGCGTCTGTGCTGTGTTCTTTAAGTCAAACATTCAGAGTATTTATCTAAAACGCCAACTCATATCTGAAAGTTATTTTAAAAAAAGATGGGGATGTAATAACTGCACATTGTGACTGCATGGCTGGGTAAACAAATAATCCTTCGATGTAAAAGCGTTTGCTTGTGAAATGTTAGCGAGCCACTTTTCTGCGTCTTTTCATAAAGTCCTCAGTGAAAGGTTCTTTATTAATCTCTTTACGAGGAACCCTGAAGTGTCCTTTATCGGTTTTGCGATTTGATCGCTTAGAACAACCTAAAAACAACACACTTAAAAGGCATATAACACGCTGCTCTAGTTAACAACTAGCTCGGCTGACCACCACTTTGTGATACGCATAAGTAATGAGGCGGACGTGATGTCAATTTCAAGCAAGCAGTTCTTCTTGCACTTGGTTGTGGATGCTGCTCTTCTCCCCAGTGCCAGCTGTGGCTGCACATCTGTGCATTAAACTGATCCAAGTTTAGTTCTTGCATTTATTAAGGAAGATCTGATTTGAAAGTCTTTTTTTGACCGCAGCACAAATGCTGCTTTCATTTGCAATTGTCTGACCTGCAGCAATCTCATTCTGCCTTATGGAGAAAAATAAAACACCAAGATAAAACATGGGAAAGAACCCATACATCACAAATTTGCCCCTTTTGCCTCATCTGCTTAGACACTTAGACCATAACTACTTAAATGTTCTTTTTTCTTGATATGCAAGGTGACCAAAGAAATCAAACGTAGTATTTTTATGGTAGAAGCAGTATTATCATCGCTAGAAACAGCAGCGGTAGCAGCATCAGCAGTAGCACCACTAGTCGCAGCAGTATACGTAACACTGTGTGTCCTGCAGGTGGCGTCCTTGTCCATGCAGCAGACTGTGGACTCAGACCCGTGTAAGTTTGTGCTCTGGTCTCGTGACTGCGCTGAACGCTTCACTCTGCAGGCCTCAAACACTGACATCAAACTGAGCTGGGTTAGCACTATCGCCGCCCTGTTGGATGTACAGAAAAAGTTCATGGAAGGTACGGCTTTCATCTGATTACACCTGGTTGTAACTGATTACACCTTTTCATAATAATGTATACTGTTTCATGTATGTTCTCATATATACTTCATGTTCTTACTGCAGCGATCGAGGATCCCATTGAGTTCCAGCGTAAGGAGGCGGGGCTCTCTAGGACCCGCCCTCTGCCGTCTGCTCCACCTACTCCAAACGGCCACGCCCCTCAGACCGACGGTGATGGAGACGACACAGTGAGTTAGTCCTGGTTCAGACCTGGTTCAGACCTGGTTCAGACCTGGTTCAGACCTGGTTCAGACCTGCTTCAGACCTGCTTCAGACCTGCTTCAGACCTGCTTCAGACCTGCTTCAGACCTGCTTCAGACCTGCTTGTGTCCACAGGAGCTGGTCCAGGTGACGCAGGACTTTGTGGCCGTGCGTGAGGATGAGATCTCTGTTTTTCGTGGCGAGAAGGTCCAGATCCTGGCCTCAAACCAGCAGGGCCAGAGTCTTGTGTACAGACCGGCTAACAGCGACTCTCCTGCCGCAGAGGGCTGGGTGCCACGGAGCGCTCTCAAAACACACTGACAACACTCGCAACAAAACAATCCAAAACCTGGAGCTATCACGGGGCTAACTCTGGCGCTAACAGGGAGCTAACAGGAAAAGGGCTGTTTACATCCGCTCTCTGAGGACAAGGACTGTGGGAGTACCTCATTGGACTTGTTTGAATATTTTGTACATATTTATATTTTATGTTCAATGTTCAAAGCTCTGTTTGATTCAAAAACATTGTGTTATGTGAACATTCAGTGCCAAGCCCAAATCTTTGAATGCACTTAAAACAGAAAATACTCGCACTTAAACTTGGCACTTTTTACGAAAGTGCGTTACATTAAGTTATGTTTACGGCCGAAATAAAACTAAATTCACTTTTGGCCCTAAAAACATCATTATTTGTACACCTCCCTCTGTCCTCTGTCCTCATTGACTCCCGCAACAGGTGCTTTGATACTAACCCCGCCCCTTTCTCTGGATTGTCCAATCAGGCAACCGTTTACTGCCCATCAAACTCAGCTACCAAACTCAGCTGTGCAAATTTTGGGAGAAAAGTAAAAAGAAAAAAGAACTTCCTCACCGGGCGGAATGGAATTTCCCTGGCAACACGCAACACAGAGGAGCAAGGCCTCGTCTGATTGGTGAAAATGTTAAAAGTTTTAGTAGAAGTCAAAGTAAATAGTGATTTTGTAAATGTGTAATAGCGTTTTGCATTAGACCTGATAATGTGAGAAACTAACAAGCTAGCTAACTTGCTCACTGTTAGTGTTCGCATTAATTCCCAATTATAAATCGTAACCTTAATTTTCTGGCTTAACCACTTGTACAAAGTATATTCCTGTAGGAGTAAAGCTTAAGGGGCATTTGCATTTCAAAGTGAATGCTAATGCTAAGTTAAAAGTGTATTAGATATTATTATAACATTATAAACCAAAGTAACGTTTCATTTGTTTTGCTTTATATTTTCTGTTTCTTTAAGGGGATAATGACGCTAACGGGGAGACAGTTGCGAGTAAGCTACCTTGCTCTTGCTCATTTCAGCACGGTGGTTTAGTCTGGGACAATACTGCGGGGGACAATTTTAGTTTGAAAAGCACAATTTCACTTTGACGTTGAGTTTTCAAAGACGTCAACGTTCCTCTGAGAATAAAATGGATTATTTGGCTTCTAATAAAACGTTTGGCTATAAATGACCAATCAGGCGGCAACAGTGACACTTGTAAATCAAAACTCTGCGTCGTGTGAATGGTGTGAAGAAAGTGGAAAATGGCCACCGACAAGATGGCTGCTGCAGAAAGACAAGATGGTGGCAGCGTAAAGACAAGATTGCCGCCACGGAGTTGTTTTTTGTGGCTGTGACAGAAGCGTTTTGTCATGTTTTTCAGAAAAGTGCGGCAAGTGGTGGAATTGTGTTTTTAGAGATTTTATAAATAAATCGTTTATTTAACAAGACACCGGAGACGTTGCTGCCATTTTGAAAGTTTACACACATTTTGAGTCGAAAATGTGGATCATAGCATCACCTCTACTGCCATTTTTAATTTTGAGGAAAACATCCATTTGTTTTTGTATTTGTCTTATTATATTGATTTATGATTTGTATAAATATATATATATTAATAAGACATATATACAGAGTTTATATTGTTTCAAATTAGTTTTTAATAATTTATTTGTTTTTAGATTTTATTTGAATCATTTTTGCAACAATGCAATAGTTTAAACCTCTTATTAATCCTTTATTTTTATTTTTTTTGGTATTAATACATTTTGATATTTATTTTGTACATTTTTGTAGCGCTTTCTTTAAATCATATAATTCCCATTTGTCTCAATATTTGTGTCCAGAAATCCCTTCATAAAATGGCTGCAACAACACACCACTCAGAACTCTGGGCTCATCTTGTTTTGATGACAGATACAGTGGTTGAATGGATTGTTTAATTAAAGTGAGGTTGTTTTCTCCTGTAAATAGAACATGTCACTGACTCCGCCGACTGTGACCCTCTGTCCGGAACGTGCTCAAATGTAGCGCCCACTGCTTTGACCACGCCACACACCCAACCTTTATGTTTGTTCTTGAGTTCAGAAGGTGACTTGAATTCTGAGCAGGAAAGGTCTTGGTTTAGCTATGCATTTATTACTGTCTGTTTAGAGTGGTTTTATGTCTCTGTTTTCTGCCATAGACTGGAATGAGTGGACGTAGCGTCATCGTATTACCGTAGCCCACAAAGGCAGGTGATAAAGCGGCTAATTTGCAGCTAGCTTCCATCCATTCTGCTGTTTGACAGAAAAGATTAAATATGACTTTAAGAAAATGACTAGGGCCATGTAGAGCAACAGTTTACAGCAAGTTATTACATTCATTTATAGAAAATATTGTAGGTTGCCTAAGTATGTCAGAAACTAATGTTGATTGACAATATCGTGAAAATATATTCAGAGGTTATTGTTATACATGCAACACATTGAAACTACTGCCACTCAATAAAGCACAAATATCCCGGATCTCGTTTTCCAAAGAAAAAGAAATGTAGTTGAGATTATATTTGTCTATTTGAAAGCCTTAATCCCATCTTTATTTACAGATTTTGCCTTCAGAATTCTTTACTTTGTATGTTGAAAGTTATGTCGAGAGATAGCGCGTAGCGGCTAACGAAGCTGCTAACAGGCTAGCTGCGTACGTCCACTCGTACAGTCGATGGGTTGGTCAGAGCTGGTTCTTTGGTCTGTGTCTTTGTTTCTCTGATTCTCTGGTGCCATTCTCACCTCGGTCCTTAAACACTGCAGGGTCCCCACAAAAACGTTACTACTTTTGTACATTTGTATGTTTAGTCAACTTTAATTCTTATTGTCTTCAGACGTTTCTCATCATCAATAAAAGACTCAACTGGAGCGTAACATTATAGAAGATTTAATATGTAGAAATTAAATATTTGAGTTCAGATCTGGTTCAGTCCTGGTGCAGACCTAGTTCAGATCTGGTGCAGACCTGGTTTAGTTGTGGGGACCCTGCAGTTTCCGTTACAAACAGTATTTTCTCTGAACGGTGCATTACACACACAGGTCACACACACAACACACTTTAATGTGGACTGAAGGGCCTGTCGCCGTGGAAACCGTGGACGCTATTTTGAATTGTTAAGTTAGTTTTGATTAAATAAAAAAAGTATATAAACAGACAATGGATCTGAATAAAACTTAAATGCTCTTCGATAACAAGTCATTCACAGATCAAGGATGTAAGCTAGCATTATGCTAACACTGTGCTAACAAGTGTAGCGTCTGTGCATCATTGTCTGAGAATACACCTAAACCCCAGTATTACAGTATTATTTTGCTGTACTTCGTTTAGACAGAAGGGTTGGGGTTTGTCTCCACGGCCTCAGAGACCTCAGTCCCTCAGCTCTCTCTTCTTCAGCTCCCTCAACCCTCTCACCTCTCTCCCCCTCAGATCCCCCTCCCTTGCCCCCCCAGCTCACCTCTGACCCTTTCTCCCAGCGGTCTCAGTGCTTTCTGTTCTGACGTTGGAGGCGTCTGTCTGTTAAACGCATGAGGATTGTAAACTTTGATTCGACTTTTTATTTTTGAGGATATTTTTCCATGTGTCGCCGGGAGGAAACCAGCCCAAAAGAGAACACACTTTTAAAAAAAAGGAAAAGTGGATTTGTGAAAGTTTTAATGTGAACTCACGCCTGGTCCGAGTCTTGTGGCGTAGATCAGATTCGATTATGTCTAAATGTGAAAAGTTTTAACAATAGAACAAAATGATATACACTTCAATAAAGCATTTTACAAGACTTTAGTCTACACTTTTCTGTACAATTTATTGGTGGCAGTCAGTCACCCAATAATTAGATTAGGATCAGTGAAACTCGATTAGTGAGGAGTATTCGTAGCAACATGCTTATGTCACGGTGCTGCCAAACGGAACGTTTCAAGAGATCCTTTGTTCCCTCGGCTGTCAGACTGTACAACAGACCTGAACGAGTCTTCAGCTGCTTGAATTTATCTATTTTTCTTCTCATCCGTGTGGAGCCATAGAGGCTTTTTCCAACATAATGTTCTACAAGGACAACTTTGTAAAAGGAAGTTGTCCTTGTGCAAAAACCCAACCTCTGAGGTCAGAGCTTCACTCGCTCAAACACAGCTCCAAGGCTCGTTCAGCTGTCATTCTGCACAGTATTGTCCTACTGTATGTGTGTGTAGTTTATCTCATGTTTTATCATGGAGCTGACTGTAGCACATGCAACGTGTCTGTCCAGAAGGCGTGTGCTCTCACTGAACTCTTATCTATAATTGAAGAAATGACTTTATTGTTTTCTGAGTGTGATCCGTGCGCGCCCTCTCTCTCCTGATGACCTCTCTCTCTCTGACTCTGCAGTTTTATTACAAATGTTGTATTATTACTGAAAACAGATAGACAAAAGAAATGAATACATATTCCATTCTTGTGGGTAGGTTACAACTGTATATATCTGTGGAGTCCAACAGTGATGGACAGACCAGAGAGAGACCTGAAAGAGAGACCAGGGGAGGCAAGAGAGAGACCAGGAGAGACCAGAGAGAGCCTAGGGGAGGCCAGAGAGGGACCAGGAGAGACCAGAGAGAGCCTAGGGGAGGCCAGAGAGGGACCAGGAGAGACCAGAGAGAGCCTAGGGGAGGTCAGAGAGGGACCAGAGAGACCAGGAGAGGCCAGAGAGAAACCAGAGAGAAACCGTGGGAGACCAGGAGAGGCCAGAGAGAAACCGTGGGAGGCCTGAGGGAGACCAGGAGAGGCCAGAGAGAGACCAGGCTTGTGGGTAGGTTACAACTGTATATATCTGTGGAGTCCAACAGTGATGGACAGACCAGAGAGAGACCTGAAAGAGAGACAAGGGGTGGCCAGAGAGAGACCAGGAAAGGTCAGAGAGAAACCAGAGACCAGGACAGACTAGGAGAGGCCCCAGAGAGACCAGAGAGAGACTAGCTACACCAGTTACAGACCAGGGAGATAGAGAAACCATAGAGTGGATCATCAGGTGTACAGTAATACCAGTGTTTATTATTGTATCGTTAGTACAGTAAGTGTCTCACTCGTTATGATGTAAGAATGCACTTGATCCAGATTCTGGGGCTAAAGTCCGGGTCTGAACAGAGTCCAGCTGCTGTTACGCAAACGCATTAACACCTGGCCCTGCTCACGTATGGGTCTTCATAAAACCATCCAGACCCAGACCTGGTTCAGTCCTGCAGTTCCAGTCTCAGTCCAGCTCCAGCCTTCTAGACCAAGCCCTGGATTAGTCCCAGTCTCGGTCCAGGTCCAACCATGCAGAACATTTTTGGGAAAAACGGCACAGAGACCCCAGAGCCGGTGCAGGCCACAGTCAAAGGTACGACAAATATTTATAGTATTAAGAGACGCAGTAGATCTGAGTCCATTTTTAAATATATACATTATTGTCTTATTAAAGCTGGGGTCTGTAACTAGTCTCATGTTTGGAGTAAATAACTCTCAAACCTGCTTGTCTCTGGCCCCTGGCTCTAAAACAGTTGCTTCTATTACTGTTATCGCTGTCTGACAGAGAGGACCTCACTCTAAAGCTAAAGTTAGGGACCCCAGCTTTAATTATGCCAAACATTCTTATCTGTTATTGTAAGTGTTATCAGTGCAGCGTCTAATTGTTTTATCAAACGGATATAACAGGTCTGGACTATAAACTCATTTCGTGGTTCAGACCTGGTTCAGACCTTGTTTTACTCTAGGTGTGATCCCTCTCTGGTTGGAGGGGACTCTGATCAGAAATGGACCTGGTTTGTTCTCGGTGGGAGATTCTCGCTACAATCACTGGTTTGATGGAATGTCACTCATCCACAGCTTCACCTTCAAGAATGGTGAGAGAAACTGGACCAAACTGGACTAAACTGGACCAGACTGGACTCAAGGTGTGCTTGTGCAGGCGAGGTGAGCTACAGAAGCAAGTTCCTGAAGAGCGACACGTACAAGAGAAACATAAAAGCAGAACGCATCGTGGTGTCGGAGTTTGGAACCATGGTTTATCCAGACCCCTGCAAGAACATCTTCTCCAGGTATTAGACCCCTGCAAGAACGTCTTCTCCATGTATTAGACCCCTGCAAGAAAATCTTCTCCAAGTATTAGATAGATAGATAGATAGATACTTTATTGATCCCCGTCGGAGAAATTCAGGTGTCCAGTAGCAGCAAAAATAAAAAATTGATCATTCTAAAAGATAACAATTGTAATAATCAGCAACAGCCCTTCAGGTCACAGCAGCAGAGGTGGAGTAGCCTCTGGGTTAAGCAGGATGGGTCAGACCAGCAGAGGTGGAGTAGCCTCTGGGTTAAGCAGGACGGGTCAGAGCAGCAGAGGTGGAGAAGCCTCTGGGTGGAGCAGGACGGGTCACAGCAGCAGAGGTGGAGTAGCCTCTGGGCTATTGGACCCTTGCAAGAACATCTTCTCCAGGTATTAGACCCCTCCTCCAGGTGTTATGCAGCGGTACCAAGCCCCGGGTCTCCAAGATGTCTGCTTCTCTGTACCTCTCTGTCTCTCAGGTTTTTCACTCTCCTCTCTGTGCCCTGATGTCCTCTCTGTGCCCTGATGTCCTCTCTGTGCCCTGATGTCCTCTCTGTGCCCTGATGTCCTCTCTGTGCCCTGATGTCCTCTCTGTGCCCTGATGTCCACTCTGTGCCCTGATGTCCTCTCTGTGCCCTGATGTCCTCTCTGTGCCCTGATGTCCTCTCTGTGCCCTGATGTCCTCTCTGTGCCCTGATGTCCTCTCTGTGCCCTGATGTCCTCTCTGTGCCCTGATGTCCTCTCTGTGCCCTGATGTCCTCTCTGTCCCCTGATGTCCTCTCTGTGCCCTGATGTCCTCTCTGTCCCCTGATGTCCTCTCTGTGCCCTGATGTCCTCTCTGTCCCCTGATGTCCTCTCTGTGCCCTGATGTCCTCTCTGTGCCCTGATGTCCTCTCTGTGCCCTGATGTCCACTCTGTGCCCTGATGTCCTCTCTGTGCCCTGATGTCCACTCTGTGCCCTGATGTCCTCTCTGTGCCCTGATGTCCTCTCTGTGCCCTGATGTCCTCTCTGTGCCCTGATGTCCTCTCTGTGCCCTGATGTCCTCTCTGTGCCCTGTCCCTCAGGTTCTTCACTCATCTGTCCAACGTGATCCCAGACTTCACAGATAACAACCTGGTGAACATCATTCAGTACGGAGCAGACGTCTACGCAGCGTCTGAGATCAACTACATCAACAAGATCGACCCCAGCACTCTGGAGACCATCGGGAGGGTGAGCACTGATGCTGCTACTGATGCTACTGATGCTACCCAAGGGTGCTTCTTCTGCAGTGTAGATGACAAACAGTATTGGGCCCAGCTCTTCTCCCTGTAGTACCCCAATGCTAATGACAGGGGAATTAACAGAAACAGACAGTTGTAGTTTCAGTTCAAACAAAGACGACGGAGAAAACCATAAAGACGTCTTACAAACATATTTCTATTTTCAGACAAATTATAGAAACCACATTGCACTGAACTTGGCAACCGCTCACCCGCACTATGACCAGGAAGGGAACACCTACAACATGGGTACCGCCATCATGGGTCTGGGGAAACCCAAATACGTCATCTTTAAAGTCCCCCACGACGCCTCAGGTACGACACAGGGCTAGCACAGAGTTATTAGAGTAGTTACAAGGGCTAACGCGTGAGGACCAGAGGGTCCCATTAGCCTAGCTGCAGTGGTTAACACATTTTAGTTACGTTTTGCTGTATATTTGAAAATAGAAAGAGGAGTGTGAGGGTGGTCTCTGTTTAGGGAGGGCAGTTACATGGAGTTCTCTCTCTCCATGTAACTGTGAGGGGGTCTCTCTTACTGTGTAACTGTGAGGGGTGGTCTCTCTGTGAGGGCGGTCACTATCTCAATCTCTGTGTAAGTGTGAGGGTGGTCTCTCTCTCTGGGTAACTGTGAGGGTGGTCACTATCTCTCTCTCTGGGTAAGTGTGAGGGTGGTCTCTCTCTCTGGGTAACTGTGAGGGTGGTCACTATCTCTCTCTCTGGGTAACTGTGAGGGTGGTCTCTCTCTCTGTGTAAATGAGAAGTGGTCGCTCTCTGTGTAAGTTTGAAGTGGTCTGTCTCTGTGTAAGTGTGAGGGTGGTCTCTCCACAGACGCAACTCGGCAGAAGCCTGCTCTCCGGAAGCTGGAGCAGGTGTGCTCTATCCCGTTCCGCTCGCTGCTGTTCCCCAGTTACTTCCACAGCTTTGGGATGACAGACAGCTACATCGTGTTTGTGGAGCAGGCCTTTAAGCTGGATATCCTCAAACTGGCAACCGCCTACTTCAGAGGAGAGAACTGGGGCAACTGCCTCAAGTTTGACCCTGATGACACGGTAAGAGAGCGGATACTACTGAGCCCACGGCTAGTACAAGTACTTATGTGCCCAGGACCAGCACAGGTACTACTGAGACAGGGACACCACAGGTACCTATGATCCCAGGGACACCAGAGATAGTACCGAGACAAAGACACCACAGGTACTACTAAGACAGGGCCAACAGAGGTACTTATGATCCCAGGGCCAGCAGAGGTACCTATGATTCCAGGGCCAACAGAGGAAACTAAACGGACAGGGGAGAGCTACAGAGAGAGAAAAGGATAGAGGACTAGGACTAGACCAGGATTGGACCAGGATTGGACCACAAGATCACATCTCTTCTGCTGTTCCTCAGACTCTGTTCCATGTGGTGAACCGGCACACGGGGAAACGGCTCTCCACAAAGTTCTTTGGTGTTGCCATGGTGACGTTTCACCACATCAACGCATACGAAGAGCAGGAGCAGCTGGTGATGGACCTGGTCTCCTACAAGGACAGCAACCTCTACGAGATGTTCTACATCGACAACATGAGGCAGGAGCCAGGGCAGCTGGAGGAGGCTAACAAGGCCTACAGCGCCCCCGTCTGCTCACGCTATGTACTGCCTCTAAACATACACCAGGTACATGCACACACAGACAGAGAGAAACACAACACACACAAACACACACATACAGCAAGCTGGACCAGATTGGCAGAGTCCTGCTTCTTGTGCTGCAGGACTCAGAGAGAGGAGTGAACCTGGTGACGCTGTCGGACACTTCAGCCTCCGCTGTGATCCAAGAGGACGGCTCTGTCCTCTGCACTCCAGACACACTGTTTACAGGTACCAGGCCAGACCAGGCCAGAGCAGGCCACACCAGACTGAGACCATCCCAGGCTGATACCAGACCAGACTGAGACCAGACTGAACCTCTGGAGTGAGTTCTGTTTTCTGATTGGTTTGTTGGTTTCAGGTCTGGAGCTCCCAAGAATCAACTACAACTTCAATGCAAAGAAATACAGATATGTCTATGGGTCCAGAGTGGAGTGGTCCGCCCACCCCAGCAAGGTCTGGACCAGGACCGGAACACAACTGAAACTGGACTAAAGCAGGACTAAATCAGGACTAAGCTAGGTCTAACACCAGTCCAAACCGGGACTAAACCAGGTCTAAACCGGGTGTAAACTTGGACTAAACCAGGACTGTACCAGGTCTAACCAGGATTTATCTCGTCTCAGATTGCTAAAGTGGACGTTCAGAGCCGCTCTCATGTGGAGTGGTTCCAGGAGAACTGTTATCCGTCCGAACCAGTGTTTGTGGCGTCTCCTGGGGCAACAGAGGAAGACAACGGTGAGAACACATAACATACAGTGCCTTGCGAAAGTATTCGGCCCCCTTGAACCTTTCAACATTTCGCCACATTTCAGGATTCAAACATAAAGATATAAAATTTTAATTTTTTGTCATGAATCAACAACAAGTGAGACACAATCGTGAAGTGGAACGAAATTTATTGGATAATTTAAACTTTTTTAACAAATAAAAAACTGAAAAGTGGGGCGTGCAATATTATTCGGCCCCTTTACTTTCAGTGCAGCAAACTCAGTCCAGAAGTTCAGTGAGGATCTTTGAATGATCCAATGTTGATGATGAACGTGATGACTGATGATGATAAATAGAATGCACCTGTGTGTAATCAAGTCTCCGTATAAATGCACCTGCTCTTTGATAGTCTCAGGGTTCTGTTTAAAGCGCAGAGAGAACCATGAAGACAAAGGAACACACCAGGCAGGTCCGAGATACTGTTGTCGAGAAGTTTAAAGCCGGATTTGGATCCAAAAAGATTTCCCAAGCTTTAAACATCTCAAGGAGCACTGCGCAAGCAATTATATTGAAATGGAAGGAGTATCAGACCACTGCAAATCTACCAAGACCTGGCCGTCCCTCCAAACTTTCATCTCAAACAAGGAGAAGAATGATCAGAGATGCAGCCAAGAGGCCCATGATCACTCTGGATGAACTGCAGATAACTACAGCTGAGGTGGGAGAGTCTGTCCATAGGACAACAATCAGTCGTGCACTGCACAAATCTGGCCTTTATGGAAGAGTGGCAAGAAGAAAGCCATTTCTCAAAGATATCCATAAAATGTCTCGTTTAAAGTTTGCCACAAGCCACCTGGGAGACACACTAAACATGTGGAAGAAGGTGCTCTGGTCAGATGAAACCAAAATCGAACTTTTTGGCCACAATGCAAAACGATATGTTTGGCGTAAAAGCAACACAGCTCATCACCCTGAACACAGCATCCCCACTGTCAAACATGGTGGTGGCAGCATCATGGTTTGGGCCTGCTTTTCTTCAGCAGGGACAGGGAAGATGGCTAAAATTGATGGGAAGATGGATGGAGCCAAATACAGGACCATTCTGGAAGAAAACCTGTTGGAGTCTGCAAAAGACCTGAGACTGGGACGGAGATTTATCTTCCAACAGGACAATGATCAATGGTTCACAAATAGACGTATCCAGGTGTTAGAATGGCCAAGTCAAAGTCCAGACCTGAATCCAATCAAGAATCTGTGGAAAGAGCTGAAGACTGCTGTTCACAAACGCTCTCCATCCAACCTCACTGAGCTCGAGCTGTTTTGCAAGGAAGAATGGGCAAGAATTCCAGTCTCTCGATGTGCAAAACTGATAGACATACCCCAAGCGACTTGCAGCTGTAATTGCAGCAAAAGGTGGCGCTACAAAGTATTAACGCAAGGGGGCCGAATAATATTGCACGCCCACTTTTCAGTTTTTTATTTGTTAAAAAAGTTTAAATTATCCAATAAATTTTGTTCCACTTCACGATTGTGTCCCATATTTTCTTGACAAAAATATAATTTTTATATCTTAATGTTTGAAGCCTGAAATGTGGCGAAATGTTGAAAGATTCAAGGGGGCCGAATACTTTCGCAAGGCACTGTATTACCCCTGCAGTGTGAGTGTGTGTGTCTGACTCTCTATCGCCCCCTCAGGTGTGATCCTGTCCTCTGTCATCTCTCCGGACCCGGCTCTGGTCCCGTTCATGTTGGTTCTCGACGCTCGGACTATGAAGGAACTGGGCCGAGCCGAGATCCCAGCCTCAGTCCACATGGACCTACACGGGTTGTACATCCCAGCCTCAAAACCAGGACCAGACCAGGACTAGACCATGGGCAAAACTTTGGGACCCTCTGAGACACCGCTCTGTCTCCAGAGGGGCAGCACGAGGGGACTGCCTGGTTTCTCTGAGACGGAGCGCCTTCAGTCAGAGTGCCTTCTCTGTAACCGCTGCCAGAGACTGGAACTCCATCCCAGCAAACATCAGAGAATTCACAGCATACTCACTATTCAAATGACTTCTTAAAAACTGGTTAATAACACAGCAGACATGGAACCATTAGTCTAGGCAATTTACTCATTGCTTCGTAAATATCGTTTGTATGTGAACTGTGTTTTTATTGTATGATATATGTGTTCTTGTTCTCCCCGACTGTCTGTGTTTCATGCATTTTATTATTGTATGACTTTTATCTTTAGGGAGACTATGTACACCTGTCCAGGGACTGCAGATGAAAAATAGCCTGCTTGGCTAACTCCCAGTCAACTAAACTAATAAAAAATATTTTTGTACATCCTGCAATATAAAGCAAAGTGAAATTATTTTAAACTATTCTTTTTTTAATATTATCTTTAGCCTTATAAGCCCCTTTGAGACAGTGACCCTCTCCTGCGGTTCACACTCCTGCACAGAAGTGTGTTTGTCTTTTGTGCATTCATCTCCTCGTCAATTTATGGTGAAATAAAAGTGAGATACATTGAAATGTTACTGCTTTTTTTTATTCATTAGCCAAAACTTGTTAAAAACTGATGGCTGTAATTCCATGAGACATCAGGGCGCTAAAACTTGTTCAATCAAAGGCCGACATTCAGACCAACTGAAATCTAAGGGCTTGAATTAACTTGAGAGAAATTCTGCTGGTTTTGAAGTTAAAATCTTTAATTTAGCTCAGAAATGTATTTTTGAAAGGCACGGTACAAAAAGAAACGCTGAATTACATAAAATATATATTTTTTATCCAAAATAAAATGTAATTAGCCATATTCTCTTTTCTGGATCACAGTTTAGAAATGGACTCTGTTTATAACTGAAACTCCAGATGAAGCTCACAATACTCTTATTAATGAAATAACAAACAGTATTAATTCAACAATACCAGAAAGGACCATCAAAGAAAATAAGACTAAACAGAAGGCATGGCTCTCAAAGGGATCTTAAAGTCAATTAAAAGAAAAAATAGGTTCTATAAAAAATAAATTGAAAACCCAACTATACAAAATAAAATATACCAACTACAAGAACAAGCTAACAAAGATAATATGAGCTAGTAAGCGAAACCACCACACCGAGCTTAAGGCTTCGCGTGGTGATCAGAAGCGGTGATGGAAACAACTGAATATTGTGCTCAGCCGGGGTAAAAAAACTACTGTCTTTCCTGACTCCATAATCCAGCAAAATGGGAAAAGCTTTCTAAACAATGATGATCTTGCTAACAACTTTAACAGCTACTTTAATTCAATGGGAGAAACCCTCTGAAAAGCCATAAGTCCATCAGGGGGAGCTAACTACAAACAATACTTAAAAGGGAATTATCTACACTCCTTCTTTCTAATGCCTACTGATAAAACTGAAGTTTCCAAAAATATAAAGAACATGAAAAGTTCACATACATATACTGTATTGATGAGATATGTGGTAAAATTGTCAAATTCATAGCACCAGACATTGTAGATCCACTAGTTTATTGCATTAGGGTGCTTTCACACCTGCACCATTTAGTCCACTTAAAACGGACTGGAGTCTGGAACACTTGCAAGTACGGTTCGTTTGAGCAGGTGTGAAAGTGGACCAGTTGAATTAGGTCCGGACTAAAGAACCGTACCAAGACCACCTTAGGGAGCTGGTCTCGGTACGGTTCCATGCGGACTCCAGTCATGGTTTGCTGCTGGTGAGAACGCAGACCGGCCTCAATATGGCCCTGCTCTGTTGTGTAGCTCACTTTTTAACACACACATTGTTTTTTTTATATGATAGAATAGTCAAAAACAACCGCAGAGTGTTCTCGTGCTGAATCTGTGATACATACTGGAACTGGAACTACAGTATTTGTGCTGAACAAAGCAACAATGATAAAAAAAATAGCCTCACACTAGACACAAGGGCCCAGATCTTCTCTTAATATGTTTAAAAAGAATCTAAAGCATAAACTACTGCTGCATTATGCATAATGCAACCCCCTATATAGCTGACAACCACCTTATTATTTTGTCTTATTTTGGTCTTGCCCATGTAAGATCTGAATGAATGAGCACCAACGTGTACTTAAGGTTTTAATTTTATTTCCTATACCATGCTATTGCAGAACTGATGTGAGTGTGTTGAAGCAGACTGTATATGTTTGACAGACATGGGTAAGGCATGACTGCCACTGGCAGTCTTAAAATGCATTGAACTGGGGTGGAGGGGTTGTGGGAGGATGGCTCTTTTTTGTGTGTCCTGTTTTTCGACATGTGAATGTTATTGGGGCCCCTACATATACGCCAAGTTGTGCTTCATGGGAGTCCCTTCACAAACCTAAATGTTTATGTAAAAGATGTGGATTTAACATATGTTTGTAAATAAATAAATAAATAAATAAATAAATAAATAAATAAATAAATAAATAAATAAATAAATAAATAAATAGATAAATAAATACAGTGTTCAAGCGATCTGATTAATTAAATAAATGTATTATCGCTGTGATGTTGCGCAGGCGCAATGTGTTTTTTTTCGCGAATCAGGCTACGTCTAAATCCTGAATAAATACCTTGCTCCTTGTCTTTTTATTAACTTGACTTTACGATGAATACTTTGCTTTTAAATGGTCTAGAAAGGTCTTAAATATTTCTGAGATAGACCAGGGGATACCCTGTCACCTAAAAGTTTAAATCTATATGAAAATTAAGGACAAGGGAGAATACAGCAGGAGTGGTGTCAGATTTCAGACGCAGCCTGGGCTTTGGGCGTTTTGAGAGCTAGGCGTGTTTGCCTGACCAATAACCTACCGTGCTATTTCTGACCCCCACACATGTGTCCAGCCCTTGACCCGCGGACCTGATGGATTTCGAAGCTTTATTTAGTGAAAAGTCACTGGAGTTTTCTGATTTCCAGGATTTCACGGTGAGTTTTTGATGTTTTTAGCGCCAGAGCTGAAGCTAATGCTAACTATGCTAAAGTCAGCTGTTTGTGTCTTCAGCTGCCTAAGCATGTTTACTGTTACTTACTTTAATACAACTTTGTAACCTCAAAGCTTATCATCGTACTTCAATAATTAGCCTATTTTCTCCTCAAATAGAAAATAGCATCCTAGCTAAAGCACAGTTAGCATTAGCCCCGGAGACAAGGCGTCAGCTGTTTGTTGTTGTTACAGCTTTAAAAACTTTTAGGACTAAATAATTAAAGTCTTGTATGAAAATCGCCCCATTTTCCTGTTCATACATGACGTGAGGTGATTTGGTGAAAGTTATAACAGAAGTTGGGACACTGTGTTCCTTCTGAACTGCGAAGAGATCTGTCAGAGTGATCAACGAGTCTTTTATAATTTTAGAATCTCGAACTTGAGACTACTGTGTCAGAGAATACAGCCTTTAATTACAGAATACAGGATACCTGCTCCATTCAGAATATTGTATTATATTGTTTTGTATTAATTGTAAAACAAAAACAAAAAGTTTATTTATCTGTAATAATCTTATGATTAATTATTTTTTATTATTGATAACTATTTAGGCTGGAAGTTTTCCTGTGCTCCTAACACTGGTTCTGTCTCTTTCAAATCTGCTCCTCATCAGAACAGTCCTGCAGCTGTGTTTAACTCCATCCACACTAGCATCAGGAAACAAACGGAGCACATTCAGAAATATGAAATATAAAAGTATCAATGTAGGAATACCATGCTATAGTATTGTATAGATATGTATGTTTGTATGTATACAGTGAGTGTAGACCAAAAGTTTGGACACACTTTCTCATTCAATGAGCTTCCTTTCTATTGACTGTACATTCACACCAGGCTGTGTAAAGGCTATTTCACCAATAAGGAGAGTGATGGGTGCTGGGCCAGATGACCTGGCCTCCACAGTCACCGGACCTGAACCCAGTCCAGATGGTTTTGGGGTGAGCTGGACCACAGAGTGAAGGCAAAAAGCCCAACAAGTGCTAAGCATCTCTGGGAACAAGACTGTTGAAGACCATTTCAGGTCACTATCTCTGAAGCTCATCAAGAGAATGCCAAGAGTGTGTGAAGAAGTAATCAGAGCAAAAGGGGCAACTTTGAAGAACTTGGAATATACGACATATTTTCAGTTGTTTCATCCATTTTTGTATGTACATAATTCCACATGAGTTAATTCATAGTTTTGATGCCTTCAGTGTGAATCTACAATTTTTATAATCATGAAAATAAAAAAACTCTTTGAATGAGAAGGTGTGTCCAAACTTTTGGTCTGTACTGTATTTGTTGTGTCTAATATATATTATTATTATTATTATTAAACTTTATTACAGACACGAAGTCCAGATAAATATATCATCGTATATCATCGTATATCATCATATATATCATATATATATATATATATATAACCATACCATACCATACCATACCAGAGTGTATATGTCCTTTCTCTCCTCAGTTTGTCCCTGGTCATCAGAAACTGTCAGAGCGCGTCAGAAAACGTCTGTATTATGGACTGGACTCAGACGTGTCACTGGACGAGCTGTCAGGACCTGTCACCGGTGAGTACTGATGTTTAAAGTAAAGTGTCACTAAGTACAGGGGGAAGTGTCTCTGAACCTGTCACAGACTAGCCCTTCTTTAGAACTATTCTTCTTTTCAGACATTAGAACCTCTTCCCTTCTTCTCCTCAGACGTTAGAACATTTTTGCTCTTCTCCTCAGACATTGCGGTGGAGTTCTTCCAGAAGTCTGCCCCGAGCCCGATCCGCAAACTCCACAAGAAGTATGCGGCACACGTTGCCAGGTCTGTGCTGTTTCCTCCTCCTCCTTTATCCTTCTTCGTGTGTGTGTGATGTTAGCTCTGGTACATGTGTGATGCTAGTTATGGTAAGTTTGTGTGATGCTAGCTCTGGTATGTGTATGTTTCAGAGAGGCGTGTATCTCGCCCTGTGCCATGATGCTAGCTCTGGTTTACATCAAGAGACTTCGACACAGGAACCCAGAATACCTCCAGAAGATCTCTTCCTCCGACCTGTTCCTGATCTCCATGGTAACCTCCTGATGACGCTAGTGTAGCTCCTGATGACTAGTGTAAGGCCTGATGTCACTAGCTCCTGATGTGTGTTGCAGATGGTTGCCAGTAAGTACCTGTATGACGAGGGTGAGGAGGAGGAGGTGTTTAATGACGAGTGGGGGACTGCGGGGAAACTGGACGTACAGACCATCAACGACCTGGAGATTACCTTCCTGAGCGCCATGGTGAGTCCACACATGGTACTGCACACACAGATTGCCGTGTGTGTGTGTGCGCCATCTGTCATTAATCCTGTTTGCGTCTATGCAATACACACAAATACACACCATCACCCATCTGTATACCTGCCATTCACCCTCATGAGGACTTCCCTCCTTAACCTGTCACTCATTCACATGGACTCTGGTCAGATCTGTAAAGTCCCTGTTACCTCCTCATAAGTCTGCTCACCTGGAGTTCTGAGGAAGACTCCTGTTTGTCACCAGTGCATCCACACTGAGCACCGTTGTGAGACCACACGCGGAACTGCAACTGTTTTATTGTGAAAGGTTGCCAGATGAAGCTGTGTGTCTGTGTCTGTATTTCAGTTGCGTTGTTGTGTTGCAGGAGTGGAGCTTGTTCACAGAGCCCAGAGACTTCTTCACAGTCCTCAGTCGGTTAGAGAGCAGGTACAAACACACACACACTCTACAGAGTGACTGCGGGGGATGTGTTCAGTATTAACTCATGTCTCACATTTTTCACTTGTCCTCTGGTCTCTCTCCCTGGTGTCTGTCTGATCTCAGGGTGGCCCATCGTGAGGCTCTTTCCAGAGGATGGTTCACTTATACAGAGCTGTGTGTGCTGCTGGAGCAGAGCCACTGGAACCAGGCTCTGCTGTCTACCTGTCTGCACTGGATCAAGGTGAGGTGCTAGACCAGTCCTAGTCCTAAGTCCTCTATCTGCCCAGACCAGACTGGTCCAAAGCTGTTCTGCCTCAGGCCAAGTGAAGCTGCACATTTGCAACATATTTATTTTTTGTGTACAAACTCAGACATATTTGTGACAGACGCTTAAAGCTGGGGTACCTAACTTCTGTGTGTCTCTCTCTCTCCTCAGGTTTGCAGCATGATTGCCCTGCTGTATCTCTCTTCTGTCTCTGCCCTCATGATGTCGCCCTCAGTTCTGCACACACTCAGTCCACGCCGAGGCTTCTCTCTCTCCCCTTCTGCGCCCGGCTTGCTCGCCCCACCCCTGTCGCCTTCTGCTGGTCAGTCTTGGTGTCTGCAGTGGAACCATACTCCTCACACGTCTCTGCTGGCTCTGTGGAGCTCTGTGTGGTCTGTGCCGCAAGCCTGCGGTTCTCCTGGACGCCCCCCACACTTGAGCGGTTCTCCTAGACGCCCCCCCATGGCCCCCCAGCTCCATTGTGGTCCACAGAACTCCACCTGGCCCCGTGTGAAGGCTCCAGAGCAGTCCCTGGGCTCCATGGTACCTGTGCTGCCGCTGGTCCAGTTCAACCACTGCCAAACGGAGGCCATTCTGAGCAAAGCACTCCTTGTACCAGGGTAGACTCTGGACCAGGTCTGGGTCTGGGTCTGGGACTGGTCTGGACCAGGTTTATTACAGGTTTAATCTAGGGCTGGGCGATGAGTCTCATTTTTCTGATTGCAATGACGAAAAGTGCAATTAATCGTGCAGCTCTTTTTCTGGACGTTTTTCTGGACGACCATCCTTGGTCCAGCCCTGGTCTAGTCCCTGTCCTGTTATACGCTCCTTTTTGCACATGTGGTTCTAACTCTTATGAAACATAAATAGTTAGAGGGGAAGGGAAGGTTTGGCTTTTCTGATGTTTCTGTTCAAATATTCAAGGTCTGGTCTGAGGTTTGGAGACTTTTACTTTGAAGTTGATGGTCAGTGCTGACTGAGACTTAACTTTGTTGCATATATATTTCCGGACATTTGTGCTTTGATTTTCAAGATGAATAAGTGCTGGTTTCCAAAGTGTAAATGTGTAAAAACATTGTACAAATGTAGAAATCTGCAATAATAATAAATCACACTTTTGTGGACTTCTGTAACTTGTGTCTTTGAATCCTTCAAGTCAATCAATTTGAACATCTTTCACATAAAACATTGTTTTTTGTTCTAACTTTGTTTTTAACTGATTGGTAAGGCTTTAAATGGTACAAACGCCTGTCTGTTACGATACTTAGTGTTATACTGACCTACTGATAGTATAGTATTGTTTAAAGTTTATTTAAGGACAATGCAGTTACAATTAAAAAGATTTCTACCATTATTGTAATAAATCCATGTTGCTACCCAGGATGTAGCATCATGCTACTTTCCATCCGTAGTCCCTTGGCTTACAGTCTTTGCATACTGTAAACCTGTAAAGGTTAATTCGATAGTGTAGTTGTCTTTCATTACGGGGTTCAATTACTAAAAAATCAAACTAAAACAAATCGGCTCCTTAAAATATACACATGGATTAAATGAGTCTAAAATATTTCATTTTCTTAATATGAAAAATATAGTGAGTAATTATATAAATATAATTATATCAAATATTTGTTTTTATTTAAAAGTAGAGAGATTTTTGAGTAATTTTTTATTTTGAGTGTTTCCCATGTTCGCGTGATACGCGCCCGCGCCTGTGTTCGTTAGCCCTAGCATTAGCTGCGCACACACAAACAAACACAAAGATGGCGGACATGCAGCAGCTGAGCGGACAGAGCCTGGAGCTTGTACCCGGGTCTATGGAGCCTGTTCCCGGCCGTGTGCTGCCTCTACCCGGGTCTGTCGAGGCTCTATTCCCCGCAGAGGAGCACCAGGCTCCCGCGGACATGGACCCGGAGCTGGCCCGCCTGTCAGCGCGGATCCTCGGCTGGCTGCAGCAGTACGAGCTGCTGCTGTTGTGGGGGCAGCGGCTGTTGGTTTGGGAGAGGCCCGTGTGCAGTGTGTCCGCGGCCGTCACTCTCAACACGCTGTTCTGGTGAAGCCTTTTCTGTTTAACAATGATTAACACTGTTTAATGACATGTAAATACAGGTCTGCGAACAGCGCACTGCGGGTGTGGTTTTAATCCCGTCTGTTTGCTCTGGGCCTCTCCGGGAGCTAATAACAATATTACAACACATTTAACGTGACCACACACAAACACACAACTATCACATAACAGCACAATCACTGTCAACTTCTTCTAACCTACGAGAGGCGTGTGAGAATATTGATACATCGTGAGACTAAGTGCGATCGCGATAATGCGGATCGTTCTTTGGGAGACTAATAGTTACTTACATTTACTGCATTTGAATGTGACAGGATAACGGGGTGCAATGTTTTAGTTGTCAGGTACCAACTTTCAAACCACAAGATTAGAACTCTATTTTAGAGCTAGAGACATGGGTTTAATACATTGTCTTCTGTCACTAGTTTCACATCATGTATTTCTGTCTCAGTCGCATCTTAAGATCAAAGAATGGACCACCCTCACTCAGCCAATCAGCTCTCAGCCCAAAGAGTCAGGTAGTAAGTCCCAAAGCTTTTTCTTACACAGAATAGAACGTTTTTCTTCAGATAAAAGACATATCTACAAACTGTAAAGCGGACAATTACTGATTTATTTTTATGTTATTTAGAGGCTGTATGCAGTCTGTGTGGTGTCAGTCTTCAGAGCTGACCTTTAGTACTTTCAACTGGACTGTCTTCTGCTTCAAACCAGTCTGACCGCTGTGAAGTCCAGTCTATATGCTCCCAATGCATACACTACTTGTATAACCTGTGCTCTTGCATCTGCTGGCATTGTCTCAGGGGGATCCAGACGTAATTGACGAAGCTGTTCCGTCACATAATTAACTTACTAAATCACTTTTTGCAGGTTACTGTCATCCACGTCTCTTCGGCCCCTGTTCCTCCTTAGTGTGTCATTGCTCGGCCTGATGCTGCTGGAGCGCTGGAAGCACCTGCTGTTCCGCGGTAACAAACTGCACCCCACACATTAAGGACTACAACCCGCACGCTAAGGACTACAACCCGCACGCTAAGGACTACAACCCCCACACTAAGGACTATATCATAGCAATCAGCTGAACTCAGTCATGCTAAACAGCAGGCTAATATTGAAGTTTATTTTGGTTTTTGGTTTTTTTCCTCAGTGACACAAACAGCAGCTGAGCCGATACAAAGGTGAGGTAGTAGTAGTAGTAGTATCTGTGTCCCTAGTGTTAATGCTCATGCAGTGTGTCCGTCTCTCCACAGGGGGGCAGAAGAGCTGGAGCCCCGCCTCCTCTCAGTCACGGAGCTCTCTGTACATCTGGCCGACAGCTTCCTCAGCTGCTGCTCGTATCTGCAGGAGATGATGGCCTACAAACACAGCCACCCTGGCAAGGTACAGCGCCCCCTAGGGTGTGAACTGGACACAACTGAAAGAAGCTGATAGAATGTCACTCCCATATTCGTCCCGGAAACCGGATTTGTCCGGAAGCTCAGTTTGATCCAATGAGCATACGCAGCAGTAGATTACGTCACGGAATCTGGATGGAAGCGGAAGTAAATATAACAAACTACCTATTCATGCCTAAACTTAACCAGCCATTCCCATAAAATAACCCCAACCCAGCCTTAACCATTAACCATCTTACTCAGACACCTAAAACTTAACCAGTCACCACAAAGGACTTATTACACTTTTTGACATGCGCAAACTGAACTTCCGGACGAATCCGGTTTCCGGGACGAATACGGGAGTGACAAAAAGACCACCTACTTTTGCTAACGCTCCTCTTCTTTGCTTAGTTTTGTGCTCTGACCTGCGGGAGCTGCCTCCTACTGGCTTTACTTGGTCATTACGTTCCTGGAGTCATGATCTCATACATCATTGGTGAGAAACACTTCAGACACATGACTTCTGAGGTCCTGACAGCTGTGTCTCACCTGGTCCAACCTGTCTGAAAGGTTTCCATGGGGGGTTGTAATTCCCCCATGGAGTTACAACAAAATCTGCATCACACTGATGCAGATTTGTGATAACATAACTAAAAGACAGAATCAAGTCTGAACCATAGACTGTGAATATTAACGGACGTAGTCACGCCTATCTATAGCCAGGCTTGAACCAGGCTTGAACCAGGCTTGAACCAGGCTTGAACCAGGCTTGAACCAGGCTTGAACCAGGCTTGAACCAGGCTTGAACCAGGCTTGAACCAGGCTTGAACCAGGCTTGAACCAGGCTTGAACCAGGCCTAAAGACAGCTGTTGTAATGAAACCGTTGGATCTGGTTTTTCTGGTTTGACGACAGTCTCAACACCTCTCTGTACTCTTTACTAACTGTAGCATATAAAATGACTGATGGTCTCTAGACCATGTGGACAAACACATATTGACACATGTTGATATGTTTCAGCCCTTAGCGTGTTGCTGTGGCCACTGGTGGTGTACCATGAGCTGATCCAGAGGATGTACACAGGACTGGAGCCAATCCTCATGAAACTGGACTACAGCATGAAGGGAGAGACAGACCGGAGGAAGGAAAAGAGGAGTGAGTGGACATGCTAATAACATGTTACAACCATGTCACAAACATGTAAAAAACATGCTTAGAACATACGGGTGAAGCTGGTGAAGAACAGCAGGTCAGAGCGATGTGTTTAATGCAGTAGAATACTGTGTGTTTCAGAGGTGAAGAAGGAGCAGGAGGTCGGAACAGAGGGCAGAGCCGACACAGAGACTGAGAGTGAGGAAGAGGAGGAGCTGTGCTGCTTTGCCGCCACGGTAACTATACTACTGGTGTACTTCTGTAAAGTACATGTGTGTGTCTTTTCTCTCTCGTGCAATGTTTAAAGTGTGTCACCTGTGTGTGTCTCCTGTCTCTTTTGTGTAATGTGTTTAAAGTGTGTCACCTGTGTCTAGTGTGTAACATGTGTGACACCTGTGTATGTGTGTGTCCAGGTGGACGTGAAGACGACGGCCCTCGCCATGGCGATCACGGACTCTGAGCTGTCTGATGAAGAGGCGTCCATCTTGGAGAGTGGAGGTTTCTCTGTGTCCAGAGCCACAACACCGCAGCTCACAGACGTCTCTGAGGGTCAGTTCTTTTGCTGTTCCTTGGACAGATTCAGAACAGAGTGTTCTGACCTGTCTTTTGCATGTTCTCCCTGTGGTAGACCTGGACCAGCAGAGCGTGCACTCAGACCCAGAGGAGGCCTTCCTCAGAGACCTGCCAGAGTTCCCCTCAGTGGAGGAGTTTGAGCCTCAGAGCCTCCTGTTCCAGAGGGCAGAAGAGCCACTGAGCCCTGCCTCCCTCCTGCTGCAGCACCTGGCCTCACCCCTGCACTTTGTCAACACTCACTTCAATGGGCATGCTCCAAGCACACACATACAGGTGGGAGTTTAGAGCTCAGAGAAAGTGTTTAATCTCTACAAGTCTCAATAACAGCGTTTCTCACACAGGTCCAAACCTCGGACCAGACCTCGGACCAGACCCCAGACCAGACCCCAGCGGTGAGGGACCAGGCCCAGCGCTCTCTGGAGGCCCTCAGTGAGCAGATTGTGACTACAGCCATCTCCACTGTGGTCCACAACACTCTGTCTGCTCTGCTGCGCTCTGGGGAGCCAGAGGAGGAGCAGGAGGAGGACCAGTTTCTGCCCACCACTATGGACTGTTCAAACGCAGTGGAGGAGGAGGTCATGGCAGAGCCAGGAGACGAGGAGGAGGAGGTCACTAGTGCATCCTGCACAGTCCCAGTGCAGGATGATGAAGTCACTTCGACAGTCGAGGAGGAGGAGGAGGAGGCGGTCACCACGACTGTCCAAGAGGAGGAGGAGGAGGCGGTCAACACGACTGTCCAAGAGGAGGAGGAGGAGGCGGTCACCACGACTGTCCAAGAGGAGGAGGAGGAGGCGGTCACCACGACTGTCCTGGAGGAGGAGGAGGAGGAGGTCACCACGACAGTCCTAGAGGAAGAGGAGGAGGACTTTGAGCTCCTGGACCAAAGTGAACTGGACCTGGCCGCCGAGGAGCTAGACGCGCTCTCCAACATCACGTAGCTTCAGTTTGTCCCAGGCCTCTTCCACACAGCTCTCTGTTCCCTGGAGCTCAGCTGGTCCTGGATCAGTGTGACCCTGTGCCTCTTAAAGCTGGAGGATGTAACATTGAAGCTGGGGTACGTAACATTCAAACTTCAGCAAAAGAACTTCCTCTCTCAGCCCAAAGAGTCAAATAGCGACCCTACAAACCGCATGCATACACACGATATTTATGAGGCTAAAGTTACGTCCCCCAACTTTAAACCTGGACTTGGACCTGGCGCTTGTGTTGATGAGACCTCTCCAACACAGATCTGCTTTTACAGTTTCAGATCATTTAAACTCATTCTCTTCTGTTGAATATTGAAGTTACTTTAATGATGTCATGGTAAACAGCTCAAACTAACACATATTTATTACTTACAGATACAACTTTTCTCAAACATATAAACTATTTATTTAGTCTTTGAGGAATGGGTTGAAATGTTCCGTTTGATTCCCTTGTCTGACTGTAAATGTTGGGATTGTAGACTCAGATGTTGGACCGTTGGCCTTTTCCGGATTGTAGACTCAGATGTTGGACCGTTGGCCTTTTCCTGAGCACAAGGAGAGGATTGAAAATGTTGTTTTCAAAGCTCAGATTGTTGAAATGCGTACAACAGGTTTTCATGTCAGTGGAAAACATATGAGCCAACACTTCCCTCTGATGGTGGATTTGAGGCATTACCCTCTGCTTATATAATTGTACTTAAAGTCATGTGACCCAAAATCTGAGAAGAGTTTGAAACACCATTTATTTGTATGTATTGTTCTGAAAAGACAATAAGCAATGAATCATTTTAAAATCAGTAGATTCCGTTTAGGCCCAAACAAACGACTTTAGCACGTTTCCACCAGCCCGACTCGGGGAGGAGAGCTGGTGCTGGTTCTCATTTCAGAAGGATGGACCGTTCTGCACCGTGGTTGTTTCCGTAGTTACGAAGGCTAGAGAAGTGCCTGACTAACTGTAAGGGTTGTCAAGAACCCCTGTTTTGTTTTTCCGTAACTATGGTTACGCTTTGGTTTTCCACTCAAAAGACACTGGAACCTGATTCAGACCAGGGCCAGAAGTGGGAACCAGCTCTGATGAAATACTCAAGACAAAAGGTGTGACTTATCTCAAGTGAAATACAGCAAAATTGGTCCGTAGACAAACAAATGAATGCCAACTGCTGCTCGTAAACAGTGTGTTACTATGGTAACTGGCACTGGCCCAGTTTTGATTGAAAACCGAAGCGTGTGTGTGTATTTCTGCCCATGTGTGTAACCTGTTGTACGCACTTTTAACCTGTATATCTCTTTTGCACAGTGTCCCGGTCTGTCTCCGCTCCTCGGTTCTGAGTGTGTGTGTGTGAGTGTGTGTGTGCGCGTGTGCTTGTGGTCCTCTGCTCACACTTGTATATGTGAATAGTGTAGATAAGTTGTAATATACTGTGCATGTGTTTTTTTCTCCTGTCTTCGCACAAAGTCTAAACTGTACAAACGTGTGTTCTGTGGCATTCAAAGGATCTATTTTCTAATTTCTCCTTTTTCCATGAAGCGTTCAGTTTGCTCTTTATAACAATAAATAACTTTGAATCAAACATTATGTGTGGAGAAATAATAAAAGACAAACTGACTTTAAACTGTTCTTCTGTTTCCTGGTGATGGCTCCTAAAGAGAGTATGTCTGTTGTGACTCGTGAAAGAGGAGCACAGACTGAGGACAGAAGTGTTGTACCAGCGGTAGAACTGTGCTTAGGTTTCTCAACTCTGAACATTGTAAAGCGTTTTTGGTGACCTTGGTCTGTAAAATGCGCTTTATAGATAAAGATTACTTACTTACTTAGTGTTTTTCAATCAATGTGCTGGGGCCACAGATCTGGGAGGGGTCAGACCCTTGTCCAAGCCTCAGTCCTATGGGTATGGTCTCCTGAATCTGCAAGACCTTTTCTCGGATCTCATCAACGTCTGACAGAAAAGACCAGGATCCATGAGAGAACAGGACTGGAACTGAGATCAGACCATCTGGGATGTCCTGGAGACCTAGGAGAGAGGAGACGAGGAGGTAATCAAGAAGCCAAGGGAGTAGTGGTAGAAGTAGTAGCAGTAGCAGCAACAGTGGCTGTGTTTCTGACCAGAGCAGTAGACCCCTGCAGACAGCTCGGTCTCGGGACTGTCCCAGGCCTTCAGAACACTCAGCATTGCATGGGCACAGCACAGCGCCCCCATGTGATGAGAGACTGGCAACTGAAGCTCCGATTTACACCACAGTCTAAAAACACAAGACAGGAAGTGCGGTGAAGTGTTACTAGTGTATGCAGTGAGCTCTGAAGAAGGAAGTTGTCAAAAATGTCCTTCTCTACATGATCCTGATGTTTTGATTTGTATGCTGTTTTTGGAAAATCCACCAGTACCTACCTGATCTGTGAGAAGTGGTGCAGAGGCACTCCCACACCAGCAGGGGGAACAACACTTCTGTCTCCATGATAAACCTCAGCTCTCTGAATGTCCACGAAGAACGAACCACAGACATCGCCCCAAACATGAACACGGCGAACATCTGCAACCAGAGTGTAGTAGTAGTTTTTATATGATTATTATTATGATTAGTAGTAGCAACAATAGTAATAGCTACTGCTAGTAGCTACTACCACTACCACTAGTAGCTAATACCACTGCTGCTATTACTACTAGAAGTATTAGGAGCAGCGGTAGTAGTACTAGTATTATTAGTATGTTAGCAGTATTTGTAACTGTACCTTGCACGCTGATCTCCAGCTTCTGTGCAATCTGGACTCGGGCGTGGTTCACCAGGTGTGTTGCCGTGGTGATAAATCTCCTTCTGTTAAAGGCGGGCCACTGGGCGAGGAGGGCGGAGCCTTTCTGATTCTGGGCGTGGCTTGAGAACAGCAGGACCCGAGCGTTTGACCCAGAGCACTGGAGCAAACGCCCGTACAGAGCGAATAGGGACAGGTCTGGGTCCGGGTCCTGGTGTGATGATAACCCCACGTCCTGGTCCACGTCCTGGTCCACGTCCTGGTCCACGTCCTGGTCCACGTCCTGGTCCACGTCCTGGTCCACATCCTGGTTCACGTCCTGGTCCATGTCCAAGTCTGGGTCCAGCAGCAAGATCAGGTCTGCGTTTGTGAAGGCCTCACTCTCAGATGTGTGGACTGACACCTGCAGAACAAGCAAACCCTTCCAAATAGGATCATCTCCAAAATATGGATCAGAGGTCTGATCCCACAAGAGCTCAGACCTGGAAGAACCTCTTCCCTGCAAGTACAAGTGAAGGAGGAAGAACCTGGTGTAATCTTGGAGCTGCTAGGTCCTCTGTGTCCATCTGTAGAGCTCTGAGTAGCTCCTGGTCCAGAACCTGGTCTGGTCCTGGCTCTGGTCTCTGGTCCAGATGGAAGAGGTGCAGGGAGAGCAGAGGGTATTGTGGGAGAACTTCAGGATCCTGAAGAACCTTTGAGATTAAGAACGGAGCGAGTGGACTCAAAGCACTGAAACAAAAACATTGAAACCTGATCTAAAGCAGGTCTAAATTGGGTCTAGAGCGGGTCTAAACCAAGTCTTAAACAGGATTAAAGCAGGACTAAAGCAGGTGTAAACTGAATCCAAACTAGACCTGCAGATCCACACGTGCAGGGGCTTGATGCCCGTCAGTCGCTCTTCTTCCTCGTGTTGCTGATCCAAAATGGCCGCCATGTTTTCTTGGGAGATCTTCAGCGTGAGCTCTGTGGGGATTTCCACCGTCACGTTATAAAAGGCCTGCAACGCACAAGAACAATCAACCTCAGCTTTCACACGTACGTCTGTGCAGCTAGTGCACGTGCTAAAGTTAACATTTGTGAAAAATAAAGGAAGCTTGCTCATCCATCATCTGTACTTCAGTTAGCAAGTTTTCCTGACGTTTTGTTCTTAATCCAGAGAACTTTTTCAAGATTTTACGATTTTAAGATTTTTAACTTGTGGGTGTGGTTAGACACATCCTTGGGCTAACTCGTTATCACATCTAAGGTCTGCTACAAAGTAGACAGAAATTGGTGCATCCCAAAGACAGAACAGCCAGACACAAACAGAGCAATGTGGTGTATTCAATTAAATGTAGAGAAGAGGAGTGAACTGACCACTATATTGGAGAAACTAAACAAACTCTACAGAAACTACGTGACCAACATCGTAGAGAAAATGCTAGCGGGCCACAATCGGCTGTACATCTCCACCTCAAGGCCACCAACCACCCCGTGAACGACACAGAGGTTAAAATTCTGGTGCGAGACAAAAACTGGTTTGAGAGAGGGGTGAGATATGCAATTTTTGAGAGAAAATACAAACCTTCCCGAAACAGTGGGTGCGGGTTACGATTTGTTTTGCCTCGCATCTAAGACAATGTCCTAAAAACAACTTCCTATCAATAGATAAGGTTTATCTCAGGCAGAAGGCAATCTCACTCGGCTGCAACAGCTGCAGCGGCTGGGATGGGAATCAGCACCTCCAAATCTGAGGCCATGGTGCTCGACCGGAAAAAGGTGCCTTGCCCTCTCTGGGTGGGTGGAGAGGTCCTTCTTCAAGTGGAGGAGTTCAAGTATTTCGGGGTCTTGTTCACGAGTGAGGGAAGGAGCGTGAGATTGACAGGCGGATCGGTGCAGCGTGCGCAGTGATGCGGTCGCTGTATCGGACCGTTGTGGTAAAGAGGGAGCTGAGCCGAAAGGCGAAGCTCTCGATTTACCGGTCAATCTTCGTTCCCTCCCTCAGCTTTGGGTAATGACCGAAAGAACGAGATCGCGGATACAAGCGGTCGAAATGAGCTTCCTCCGCAGAGTGGCTGGGCGCTCCCTTAGAGATAGGGTGAGGAGCTCAGTCACACGGGAGGAGCTCGGAGTAGAGCCACTGCTACTCCACGTGAAGAGGAACCAGTTGAGGTGGCTCGGGCATCTGTTCCGGATGCCTCCTGGACGCCTCCCTGGGGAGGTGTTCCGGGCACGTCCCACCGGGAGGAGGCCCCGGAGAAGACCCAGGACACACTGGAGGGACTATGTCTCTCAGCTGGCCTGGGAACGCCTTGGGGTCCCCCCTGACGAGCTGGAGGAAGTGTGTGTGGATGGGGAAGTCTGGGCGTCTCTGCTTAGACTGCTGCCCCCGCGACCCGGCAACGGGTGAAGTGGAAGAAAATGGATGGATGGGCATTAGTCTCTCACTCCTCATAGATACAGTATGTGCCAGTACCTGAGGCGCATGCCAGACCTATTGTACATATTTTTAGGGGAAACCGGAGTACCCGGAGGAAGCCTATGCAGACATGGGGAGAACATGTAAACTCCACTCAGAAAGGCCCTGGTCCGACTGGGATTTGAACCCAGGACCTTCTTACTGAGAGACAAGAACCGTACCGCCCGTGCTTTTGTGTTCTCTATATGGTGGTGGGGGTTGCTACCTAAAGATGCTAGAAGGTATTTAGCAAACATTTTAGGTGATTGAGTCTATGCTAAAGACAATGGGCCGAAGTGGATTTTTTTGTTTATGTATTTTTGGGAGCCCATACATAAACAACTTTACCCACATCGTAGAGAAAATGCTATACAAAAAATCGGCTGTACATCTCCATCTCAAGGCCACCAACCACACTGAACGACACAGAGGTAAACATTCTGGCTCTGACAGTCATTAGTTTGAGAGAGGAGTGAAAGAAGCAATCTCAGCAGACAATAGGTCATGCTAATGAGTCATGAGTTATGCTAATGAGTTAGAATCGTCAGCCCTGAGCAGACCTTAAGATAAGATAAGATTGCTTTATTTATCTCACAGAGGAGAAATTTACATGTCACATTTGGCATGGATAGAGACACTCAGATTGAGCAAAGGGAGGAAATGTGCAAACATGTTACATGCAGGATATATGTACAATAAAGTGACAATAATTATGTACAACAAAAGTGACAAGTGTCAATTGGAAACAGTGTCAATAGTAGTGCAGGTTTTCACACAGTGATCATTTAAAGTGACTTATTGTACAGTCTGACAGCGGTGGGGATAAAGGCCCTGCGGTAGCGCTCCTTCCTACACTGAGGGTGCCTCAGTCTTCCACTGAAGGAGCTCCTCAGCTCCTCTACAGTCCTGTGCAGTGGGTGGGAGGTATTGTTTATGATGGAGGTGACTTTGGCTAGCACCCTCCTGTCCCTCACCTCCTCCACAGAGTCCAGGGAGCAGCCCAGAGTGGAGCTGGCCCTCCTGACCAGCTTGTTCAGTCTGCTTCTGTCCCGCTCTGTGCTGCCCGGGGCCCAGCACACGGCAGCGTAGTAAATGGCAGAAGCTACCACAGAGTCATAAAAAGTCCTGAGCAGAGGCCTGCTCACTCCGAAGGACCTCAGCCTCCTCAGAAGGAAGAGGCGACTTTGGCCCTTCTTGTGCAGGGCGTTTGTATTATGGGACCAGTCCAGTTTATTGTTAATGTGAACACCCAGGTACTTGAAGCTGTCCACCAGCTCAATGTCCTCCCCCTGGATGTTCAGCAGCGTGTGGGAAAGTGGTTTTCTCCTGAAGTCGATGACCATCCCCTCAAATGTGATAACGAGTTAGCCTCAGGATTTGGGTGTGTCTAACCACTCCACAGGTTATAGATCTCCAACACGCGGCTGAGCTTTCATTCCCTTGAAAAAGTTCTTTGGATAAGAACAAACATCGGGAAAACCCACAAACTGAAGTACAGATGATGGGTGAGCAACCTTCCTTTGTTTTGACTAATCCCTGTACGTCTGAGAGCTTACACAAACTTTTTGTGAAAATATGTTGGAGTGTCTTTAATGTGTCTGTAAAATTGCCGTAGGTCATTATAACGTGATTCCCTCTAGTCGGTCTCTGGTCTCTCTAGAATCTCTCCCTGGTCTCTTTGCTTGGTTTTTCTCAGGTCATTCACTAGGTTCCCCCGTGTGGTTCTGGGATTTTTGCTCACCATTCTTGTAGTCATTTTGACCCCAAAGGGTGAGATCTAGCGTGGAGCCCAGTGGGGGAGGGTCCCAGCTCAAAAGTGGCCAAAATGACGTGCGCTGACATGCTTGCAATACCACCCCGGGCCGATGGGGGTGGACCCAGAAGAAGAATTAGCCAATGCTAACATATAGCGTTGGCAGACCTCTCAAAAACGTCTTTACAGGATGGACCAAAAGTTGGCTCTTGGCCCAAAGCTCCGTTCCACATGTGTGTCAATGCTGAGGGGGGTGATTTTTTTTGGTCCACTCTAGTTTACTTGCTGTGAATTTTTTAAGTCTCTCGTTCAAATGAATGGAGTTGCGCCGGCTGACGCATGCGCAGATGCGTTTTTTCACCATTTTCTTGTGGGCGGGACCACTCGCGGCCATTTTGGATTTCTCCAGTAGAGCACATTTTTTGGCCCATTTGTTAGAACGGCAGAGATAGGCGTGACTCTGTCCATTAATATATACAGTCTACTGTGGAGCCCCAGATCAAGGAAGATTATCAGTGGTCTTGTATGTCTTTTCTAATAATTGCTCCCACAGTTGGTTTCTTCACACCAAGCTTCTTCAGATTCAGTCTTCCCATCCCAGGTCTGGACAGGTGTCTTTCAGACTGATAACCAGTTTAAACAGGTGCCATTAATACAGATAACAGGTGGAGGAGAGAGGAGCCTCTTAAAGGAGGTCTGTGAGAGGCACTGATCTTGCTTGTTTGTAGGCGACCAAATACTTATTATCCACCATAATTTAAAAATAATTTGTTCTTAAATCAGACAGATGTGATTGTTAGTATTAGATAGCAATATGGCCTACGTGCAGGACTGTACAAGGACTGTACAAGGACTCCATGTTATGACTATGATGTGACTGTCTCTGTGTGACACGTATGTCTTTCGATGTGTGACGTGACAATGACTATATAAACTGTGTACTGCCTTTATTCTGTCTGAGAGAAAGAAACAAAGTAAACCAGTGGAACTTGAGAGAAACTTAAATAAACTTCCAGAGTTTGGCGCACCACGATCCGTCTCTGTCTGCCTCATCCCTAACAGATTTGGTGGAGAATGCTCGGCTCAGTGTGTGCCATTCTCTGGATTGTTTTGAGGGAGTTTTCTTTGTTTCTTTTTCTCGGCGTGGGAGAGCTGAGAGTGTCTGGGGCCTGGGAGCAGTCCAGCAGAGAGGCGACCGGCTCCGGGACTCTTTTTCGCTCTCTCACTATATTTTTTTGTGTCCTGTTTTTTGGACTGAGCGTTTAAAATTGTTTTCCCATGTCCACATTCCGGGGATTTTTGACGTGCGATTGGTCTCTGCCGATGGAAACTAGTTCCCGGTACTAGTGAGCGCTGGTTCATGATCTGGAGACCTGGTTGGACGTGGAAAAGCTGATATTTGGTGGACTTCTGACGGTGCCTGGCGCCCTGTTCGACAAAAGGTAAGAGCGGACGCCTGTTTATTCAAAGTCTGCTAATTGAGTGAACTAAATTATGGTCTGTTTTGAGGTCTGCCAAATGTCATGTATCTATAGATCAGATTAGATTAAAAACAGGTTCGCTACCTGACGGGGTTAGAGTCCCTTTGAGAAGAAGTCTCGGGGTTAGAGTCCCTTTGAGAAGAAGTCTCGGGGTTAGAGTCCCTTTGAGAAGAAGTCTCGGGGTTAGAGTCCCTTTGAGAAGAAGTCTCGGGGTTAGAGTCCCTTTGAGAAAAAGTCTCGGGGTTAGAGTCCCTTTGAGAAAAAGTCTCGGGGTTAGAGTCCCTTTGAGAAAAAGTCTCGGGGTTAGAGTCCCTTTGAGAAGAAGC